ATACATTATGAACGCAGCCTTAGCATTAGTATTAGTAGTAGCAGAAGTATCATTAGAAAAAGATGCACACAAACCGGTTGAAACCAAAGAGAGCAATAGTAAGCTCGAAAAGGCACTTGGGATAGTGCGACGACTAAAACCGAGAACCATACAAATTGTATAATAAAAACAATACATTCCAACTTTGGGTAATGGAGCCAAACAGAAAACGATAGACATATTTTGTTATTCCCATGAGAAAATGAAAAAAATCTAGTTGTTTACACGCAACATCATTCTCAGGCCAGGTTTTTGATTGGCCCGACATTAACTTGGCGTTGTTTTCGAAATCATTCTACAGTACATCGATCCCGCATTCATTCTTCTACCTCCCTTGTTACCTGAAAATTGTAAATGTATTTCTTAGAATCAATGCATTCTTAATGTACATTACGAAAAAAAAATCGATAACTGTACTAAGAAATCTTAAGAATTCGAGGTTGTTGGTCGGACATTCTGTATTCCATTGGGAAAGCTACCCATTGTTTGGGTGGACACTCACTGTCTAGGTGGCCCCAGTTGCAGTAGAGGCACTGTACAAGCTCTAATCTGTTTTTAGCTGAGCTTGAAGGTGGATGGTCTACCGTATCCAAGATGGTTACAGACCAGGATAGAGAAGAAGAGACGCCGTTACATTTAGCGGTAGAAGGACGCAATCCTGAGCTGGCAAAGCTTTGCCTCGACAAGGGAGCCAACGTTAACGCAGTCAAGGTACAACTTGGTAGATCTTCTTAAATTGGGTACAATAGCGTAGGGAGGGGGCACGGGTAGGGGCACGTGCCTCTCCAAAAGTTTGCTTTCGGCACCAAGATTTGATTAAGTTATGCGGGATTCCTGTGTATTTGGCGGGAAAAGGTCCCCCCATAATTGAGACGTCGCGACGCCCCTGGTCTGGTATCCACTGCTTTTAAGCTTCATATCTTTCCTCATTTCAGTCCACTGGTCAACGAGCCGTGTGAAATTTAAAAAAAGAAACTGTAAGAGTATATACCTGCTTAATAATCAAGCCAGGCACCGTAGAGAAATTTTACAGTCATAATATATTTCATAAATTAAAAAAAGGCACTTTCTCCCCTAATTTTGACCTTTCATTTTATCTAATTTTAATTGGGCTCCCTATGGTAGAAGCCGACAGTAGCTATGGCGGGAAATTGGCGGGAAAGGCGGACGCGCGCGTCACTGAATATGAAGTATTACGCCCTCAAGGACTTTATTGCTCTACTGCCTATCATGAAGTTAGCTGACTCGCTCAGTAATTTTAGAGCACATTTTAGATTTTTCCTATTTTTTTTATTTTTATACTTTTAGATGTTGTATATATATACTTTTTCAATTGACTTGTACTTTTATCGCTACTTTTTATTTTATTTTAGCTCATATATTTCTATTTTTATTGATGTTATTAGCAAGGCCCCTTGGAAAATCTATAGTGGTTTTCATTAACCCACGAAACAAAGTGTACTAATTAGAGTGTAATTGTCGGATAAACACAATAGAAAACAAATGAATTAGATCGTCATAGTACTAAACTATCTAAGTGTATTTCACAGTTTAGAGTGGTTTTCAAAAACCCGTGAAACAAAGTGTAATAACTAAGGTGTAATAAATTGTAATACACCGAAAACACAAAAGAAAATCAAAAGAAAATGTGGACAATAAAGTGTATCAAAGTGTAATACGCTAAAGTGTAGTTCACGGGTTTTTGAAAACAGCTCTAATATCATTATTTATCTAAACTGTTTTTTTTCTAGATGAATATGAGTACAGCACTTCACCTGGCTGCCACGGATGGTGATCGGGCTATCGTACGCATGTTGATACAACATGATGCTAATGTGGAGGCCAAGAATGCTTTGCAGGAGACCCCGTTACACAGAGCAGCGTTATTCAACAGGACAGACGTCATTGAAGATCTTCTGAAACAGTACGTTGTATGAATGGATGAACAGATGGATGACATGGAATAACAGACAGAATGTCCGAGGGACTGACTAAGGGGGGGGGGGG